ATTACCATTTAAATTTGAAGGAGGGATTAAACAATTTCCAGGTAAGCAAAAGTTAAGAGAATTTACCTCTCTCAAACCATCTCTACAGTGTATTTTGGAGGGACTGCTATCGACAGAAGTGTTTGTAAGGCTAAATAGCTGTCAGCAGAGAAAATAAAACCACAGTGAAGGAAGTAGGCCAATTAATTACTAAGCAAATGAAAAATTAAATCAACTACCCCCAAAGTCAGTCAAGGGATACACAAAGAGTAGAGAATATGATACCTAATATATAAAGAATGGAGGAGGAAGAAGAGGAATGGAGGGAAAAAAAGAACCCTTAAATTGTGTTTGAAATAGCGTATGAAGTGAGTTAAGTTAGACTGTTAGATAGTTAAGAAGCTTTCCTTGAACCTGTAGTAACCGTGACTCTAAAGCCTGCAATGGCCAATAAGTACATATCTATTGATAATCACCCTAAATGTAAATGGACTGAATACACCAATCAAAAGACATAGAGTTACTACTGAATGGTTAAGGAAAAAAATACCCATCCATATGCTGCTTTCATACCGAGACATACATAGACTGAAAGTGAAGGATGGAAAAAGATATCTCATGCAAATAATAGAAAAAAGCAGGAGTTGCAGTACTTGTATCAGACAAAATAGACTGCAAATCAAAGAAAGTAACATGATAAAGAAGAACATTATGTAATGATAAAGGGGTCAGTCCAACAAGAGGATATAACCATTATAAATATCAATACACCCAACATAGGAGAACCCAAATATGTACAACAAATGCTAACAGAAATAAAGGGGGAAATAGAATGCAGTACATTCATTTTAGGAGACTTCAGCACACCACTCACTCCAAAGGACAGATAGAGACAGAAAATAAGTAAGGAGACAGAGGCACTGAACAACATATTAGGAGAGATGGACCTGATGGACATCTGTAGAACACTCCACCCAAAAGCAGCAGAATACACATTCTTCTCAAGTGCACATGGAACATTTTAAAAAATAGATCATATAGTAGGCCACAAAAAGAGCCTCAGTAAATTAAAAAAGATTGAAATTATACCAACCAGCTTCTCAGACCACAAAGGTATAAAACTAGAAATAAATTACACAAAGTAAACTAAAAAGCCCACAAACACATGGAGGCTTAACAGCATGCTCCTAAATAGTCAATGGATCAGTGACCAAATAAAAACAAAGATCAAGCAATATATGTAGACAAATGAAAACAGTAACTCAGCACAGCAAAATCTGTGGGATGCAGCAAAGGCTGTGCTAAGAGGGAAGAATATTGCAATACAGGCTTATTTCAGGAAAGAAGAACAATCCCATATGAACAGTGTAAACTCACATTTAATGAAACTACAAAAAGAAAAACATGAGGCCCAAAGTCAGTAGAAGAAGGGGCATAATAAAGATCAGAGCAGAAATAAAGTCGAGAAGAATAAGTCAATAGAAAGAATCAGTGAAAGCAGGAACTATTTTTTAGAGAAAATAAACAAAATAGATAAACCCCTAGCCAGACTTATCAAGAAAAAGAGTCTACACACATAAACAGAATTGGAAATGAGAAAGGAAAAATCACTACGGACACCTCAGAAATACAAAGAATTATTAGAGAATACTATGAAAAATTATATGGTAACAAACTGGATAACCTAGAAGAAATGAACAACTTTCTAGAAAAATACAACCTTCCAAGGCTGACACAGGAAGAAACAGAAAATCTAAACAGTCCAATTACTGACAATGAAATTGAACTGGTAATCAAAAACCTACCTAAGAACAAAACTCCTGGACCAGATGGCTTCACCACAGAATTTTATCAAACATTTAGTGAAGACCTAATACCCATCCTCCTTAAAGTTTTCCAAAAAGTAGAAGAGGAGGGAATACTTCCAAACTCATTCTATGAGGCCAGCATCACTCTAATACCAAAACCAGGTAAAGACACCACAATACAGACTAATATCCCTGATGAACACAGATGCAAAAATACTCAACAAAATATTAGCAAACTAAATTAAAAAATACATCAAAAAGATCATCCATCATGATCAAGTAGGATTTATTGCAGGGATGCAAGGATGGTACAATATTCGAAAATCCATCAACATCATCAAATAGGACAAAAATTACATGATAATATCCATAGATGCTGAAAAAGCATTTGACAGAATTCAACATCCATTCATGACAAACACTCTCAACAAAATGGGTGTAGAGGTCAAGTATCTCAACATAATAAAGACCATATATGACAGACCCACAGCCTACATTATACTTAACAGTGAGAAGCTGAAAGCTTTTCCTTTAAGATTGGGAACAAGGCAAGGATGCCCACTATCCCCACTTTTATTCAACATTATTCTGGAGGTCCTAGCCACAGCATTCAGAAAACACAAACAAATAAAATGCATCCAGATTGGTCAGGAAGAAGTCAAACTGTCAGTGTTTGAAGATGACATGATATTGTACATAAAAAACACTAAAGAATCCACTCCAAAACTACCAGAACTAATAACTGAATTCAAAAATGTTGCAGGATACAAAATCAACACACAGAAGTCTGTTACATTCCTATACACTAACAATAAACTAGCAGTAAGAGAAATCAGGAAAACAATTCTATTCACAATTGTATCAAAAATAATAAAATACCTAGGAATAAACCTAACTAAGATTAGGGATAAATTTATACCCTGAAAACTACAAGACAGTCATGAGGGAAATCAAAGAAGATACCAATAAATGTAAATACATCCTATGCTCTTGGATAGGAAGAATTAATATTGTCAAAATGGCCATCTTGCCTAAAGCAATCTACAGATTCAATGCAATTCCTATCAAAATGACAAAAGCATTCTTCAATGAACTAGAGCAAATAGTTGTAAAATTCATATGGAACTGCAAAGGACCCCCAATAGCCTAAGGAATCCTGAGAAGGAAGAATAAAACTGGGAGGATTATGCTCTCTGACTTCAAGCTCTACTACAAAGGCACAGTAATCAAGACAATTTGGTATTGGCTCGAGAAAAGAGCTATAGATCAATGGAATAGAATAGAGAGCCCAGATATAAACCCACAGATATATGGTCAATTAATATATGATAAAGGAGCCATGGATATACAGTGGAGGAAATGACAGCCTCTTCAACAACTGTTTTTGGCAAAACAGGACAGCTCCATGTAAGAGAATGAAACTGGATTACTGTCTAACTCCATACACAAAAGTAAACTTGAAATGGATCAAATCCTGAATGTAAGTCATGAAATCATAAAACTCTTAGAAGAAAACACAGGCAAAACTCTCTTGAATTTAAACATGAGCAACTTTTTCCTGAATGCATCCCCTAGGGCAAGGGAAACAAAAGCAACAAATGAGCAAATGGGACTACATCAAACAAAACAGCTTCTGTACAGCAAAGGACACCATCAGTAGAACAAAAAAGTATCCTACAGTATGGGAGAATGTATTTGAAAATGACGTATCCAACAACGGGTTAACACCCAAAATATACAAAGAACTCATGCCTCAACACTGAAAAAGCAAATAACCTGATTAAAAAATGGGCGGAGTATATGAAGAGACCCTTCTCCAAAGAAGAAATTCAGATGGCCAACAGACACATGAAAAGATTCTCTATATCACTAATTATCAGGGAAATGCAAATTAAAACTACAATGAGATATCACCTAACACCAGTTAGGTTGGCCAACATCAAAAAGACAAGGAACAACAAATGCTGGCGAGGATTTGGAGAAAGTGGAACCCTCCTACACTGCTGGTGGGAATGTAAACTAGTTCAGTCATTGTGGAAAGCAATATGGAGGTTCCTTAAAAAACTGAAATAGGAAGACCATTTGACGTGGGAATTACACTCCTAGGGATTTACCCAAAGAAAACAAGACCTCAAATTCAAAAAGACACATGCACCCCTATGGTCATTGCAGCACTATTTACAATAGCCAAGATATGCAAGCACCCTAAGTTTCCATCAGTAGATGAATGGATAAAGAAGAGGTGGTACATATGCAGAATGGAATATTATTCACCCACAAGAAGAAAACAAATCCTACCATTTGCAACAAGATGGATGGAGCTAGAGGCTATTATTCAGTGAAATAAGCCCGGTGGAGAAAGATAAGTACTAAATAATTTCTCTCATTTGTGGAGTAGGGTAATGAATAAAAACTAAAGGAACAAAACAGCAAGAGATTCACAGACTCCAAGAAGGCACTAACTGTTAGCAAAGGGGAGGGCTGGGGGAGGGTAGATGGGGAGGGAGAAGGAAATTGAGGGGCATTATTACTGGCACACATGGTGTGGGGTGTCATGAGCCAGACAGTGTAGCACAGAGTAGAGAAGTAGTGACTCTGTGGCATCATAGTATTCTGATGGATAGTGACTGTAAGGGGTATGGGGGAGACTTGATAATAGAGGGGAATGTAGTAACCACAATGCTTTTCATGTGAAACCTTCATGAGAGTGTATCTCAATGACACCTTAATAAAAACAAGAATTAAATGAGTTGATTTTTAGGGAAGTGCTTTGTAAACCATAGAACATAGATGTTTCCTGTAATATATACAAATTATATTTTTTAATAATTTTCTTTTAATCTAAAGAGGTTTACCATAGTTTGGCCAATTTCTATTACTGTTGAACCTGTTCTTCAGCCATTTCTTACCTGTGCTTAGACTAAGGAGAGATCAAGCTGTAAATGCCTTCCTTTTCTTATTTTCTTTCTGTTCTATAGTTCTTTCTTTCCTATACTCTGCCTCTTCTGTTTAGAGGTTCTGGACTAAGGAATTTTTTAGAGTAAAAGAATCAGGAAATGATATGTCCTTAACTGTTAGGAGGAGAATCTTATATTTATTTCACACTGTAACTTATTTTGTGAATAACACAGGAATAGGCTTAGTCATCAGCTTCTTTCTTCCTCTGAGCATGACTGTGTATAAACATTGATTTGTATTTATTCCATTTTCTAGTTACAACAGTTGGAGCTCGCACAGATACAGCATAGAGATGCGAATCTCACAGCTCTCGCAGCTATTGGACCAAGGAAGAAGAGACCGCTAGAACCTGGGTCTGGAAATGAGGTATTTAAATAATGTTTGTCACTTTATTTCTCATGTCCAGAAAGCAAGCCGAAAGGAATCAAAGACATGCAAGTGGTTTACCCCCGCCTTGCACACTCTTGCTGCCACATGCTTGTTAAAATTCTCCATTGCCTCTTTTGTTAAATCTGCGTTTTTGCGTGGTTGTTATGCTATATATTGCCTTCAACTTTACTCCTACTTACTTTATTTTATACTTTTTCCTCTCCCCCATCTCTGGTCATACTTAGTCTCACTATCTCAATTTTTTATTTCTGTGTTCTTCCTAAAGGTCTCATATAATCCTCCCTCCACTTTGTATCCAAATCCAGCTCATCTGTTAAGATCAAATCTTCCATGAACTCCAACAATTCATTTCCTTACTGACTTCTCCTTTTTTCAGCACATGTGTTTGCCTAGCATCAGTTATTCTTGTTCTTTGCCTATTTTTTCTTCTGTGAGATTTTAACTTCTTGAGCAAGACTATAACTCTATTTCTTTGTATTTCCTGCAGATCTGAGCACATATATACTCAATAAATATCATTAATTGATTAATACCAAGGAAGGATCTTAACTTACATCCTTAGAGCAATTACTTGATATAATGTTAGATTTTCAGATCAACAATCAGGGCTAAGCTAGAGAAACAGTGAAAGCCCTGAGATGGGGTCAGCAGTGAAGGAGCTGTGGCTCATCTGTTCTGCTCTGTAGAATTTAAATGTGCCTTGAGAAAAGCTCCTCCCTAGCACTGACCCTGAACTTTGACAGTTCCTAAATGAATGGCAGTCATCTCAGTAGAGGAAGACTTTAAAAAATCTAGTTGTTTTTCATTAAAATGTAATGAAACATTTCATTATAAATGTTCACATACAAAAAACAAAAAAAAATTCATAGTGTAAAAATATTTGAAAACAAATGTTTCCTCCTCACAGATTTCAAGTCCCTCAACCCCTGCCAAAGGGGATGTAACCACTGTTAAGGTTTTCATATAACCTTCTAGAAATTGCTGTGAATATGGCAATGTGTTTCATATGCATTCACAAATCCACATTTGATTTTGTTTTTACTTAAATGTAGTCAAACTATACCTATTGTTCTGACCTTGATATTTCCTCCTTTCCATAATCACCTTCATAGAATAAATATATCTCCATACTTATTAAAGATATATGACACTACTGTGTTTAGATAAACATAATTTATTCAACCAGCCCTCTAATGGAAATTTAGGTTATTTCCAGGTTTTAGCTTTTTTTGCCTCAGAAAACATCCTTGTACTTACATGATTTTGTACTTGGCCAATGTCACTGCAGGCTAAATTCCTAGAAAAGGAATTCTGGCTCACAGGGTATGTATAATAGGCAAAAACCTTTTGGAGTAATTTATGCATACACAAAGATAGATAGTATAGCAAATCCTCATACCCACCACCTCGCTGTAAGTACTGTCAATTTATGCCCAATATTGTTTCATTTTTATCTGCACCAATTTTCTCAGGTCAGTTGTTTACCCTGCAGGTTATTTAAAGTCAATCCTAGACTCAGTGTCATTATCCGTAAGTATTATTTGTTGCTTTTGATTTTTGATAAACACTTAAAATTACCCTCTCAGTAAGTTGTATCAGCTTTCGCATCCATTAGTGCCTATTGTCCCATACTCATTAACACTGGGAATTCTCTTAGCCATCTGATGGCTGAAAATGTAGTTTTTAATAGAGTGTTTAAATTATGAGTGAAATTTGACAGATTTTTCCTTGTATTTTGTTACTTTCAATTTACCTTTTTCCCACTGAAGTTACATTTTTTTAAATCAATAAGACAATGAAACACTGTAGACCCCTCCCTGCTTTTCTTTCAGTTCATCTGGACTTCTTCATTTTCCTTTAAAAAAAAAAATCAATCTTTTATTTCTGTCCTCTGGGATTCTATTTGGAAAGCCCTTTCTTAATTAGAATTATGTATTAATACTTTTTATCATGTTACTTTTTAAGTATAAATCTATGATTCATTCAGAATTTCTTTTGAACAGGAGCTGAGATAATGGCTCTAGCTTTTATTCCTTCAGTTCTTCCTCCAGGCTAGCAATTGTCCAACCTCCACTTACTCAGTAATTCTTTCCCCACTGACTGAGAATGCAACCTTTATCACACATAACTTTGTATCAAATACAAATTCTCATATGTATTTGAGTCTGCTTCTGTATCCTCTGAGCCAGGGCTATCTAACAGAACTTTGTCTCTGATGAAAATGTTCAGTTTTCCGCCCTGAATAGCTAGCTACATATGCCTGTTGAGCAACTGAACTGTGGCTAGTGTGACCGCAGAAATAAAAGTTTTAATTTTTTAAATTTAATGTAACTTTTTTTTTTTTGTTATCATTAATCTACAATTACATGAAGAACATTATATTTACTAGGCTGTCCCCTAGACCAAGTCCCCCCCACAAGCCCTATTACAGTCACTGTCCATCAGCATAGTAAGGTATTATAGAATCACTACTTGTCTTCTCTTTGTTGCACAGCCCTCCCTGTGCCCCCACCCCCCACATTATACATGCTAATCTAATACCCCATTTCTTCTTCCCCACCCTTATCCCTCCCTACCCTCCCATTCTCCCCAGTCTCTTTCCCTTTGGTAACTTTTAGTCCATTCTTGGGTTCTGTGATTCTGCTGCTGTTTTGTTCCTTCAGTTTTCCTTTGTTCTTATACTCCACAGATGAGTGAAATCATTTGGTATTTGTCTTTCTCCGCTTGGCTTATTTAACTGAGCATAATACCCTCTAGCTCCATCCATGTTGTTGCAAATTGTAGGATTGTTTTCTTCTTATGGCTGAATAATATTCCATTATGTATATGTACCACATCTTCTTTATCCATTCATCTACTGATGAACACTTAGGTTGCTTCCATTTCTTGACTATTGTAAATAGTGCTGCGATAAACATAGGGGTACATCTGTCTTTTTCAAAATGGGCTGCTGCATTCTTAGGGTAAATTCCTAGAAGTGGAATTCCTGGGTCAACTGGTATTCCTATTTTGAACTTTTTGAGGAACGTCCATACTGTTTTCCACAATGGTTGAACTAATTTACATTCCCACCAGCAGTGTAGGAGGGTTCCCTTTTCTCCACAACCTCACCAACATTTGTTGTTGTTTGTCTTTTGGATGGTGGCGATCCTTACTGGTGTGAGGTGATATCTCATTGTAGTTTTAATTTGCATTTCTCTGATGACTAGCCTTGTGGAGCATCTTTTCATGTGTCTGTTGACCATCTGAATTCTTCTTTGGAGAACTGTCTGTTCAGCTCCTCTGCCCATTTTTTAATTGGATTATTTGCTTTTTGTTTGTTGAGGTGCATGAGCTCTTTATATATTTTGGATGTCAACCCTTTATCGTATCTGTCATTTACAAATATATTCTCCCATACTGTAGGGTACCTTTTTGTTCTATTGATGGTGTCCTTTGCTGTACAGAAGCTTTTCAGTTTGATATAGTCCCACTTGTTCATTTTTGCTTTTGTTTCCCTTGCCCAGGGAGATATGTTCATGAAGAAGTCGCTCATGTTTATGTCCAAGAGATTTTTGCTTATGTTTTTTTCTAAGAGTTTTATGGTTTCATGACTTACATTCAGGTCTTTGATCCATTTTGAATTTACTTTCGTGTATGGGGTTAGACAGTGATCCAGTTTCATTCTCTTACATGTAGCTGTCCAGTTTTGCCTGCACCATCTGTTGAAGAGACTGTCATTTCCCCATTGTATGTCCATGGTAATGTAACTTTTTTAACAGTCACATGTGGCTGATAGCTACTATATTAGTGCAATAGATCTGTTGTATTGATATATATATGTTTATGGCTATTTATGTATATCTTTTTTTCACATATTAACCATTTTTAAGCATACAGTTCAATAGTAGTAAGCATATTCACATTGTTGTACAATGTATCTCTAGAGCTTCTTCATCTTGCAAACCTGAAAAGCTATACCCATTAAAGAACTCTGCAGTTATCTTCTCCATCAGCCCCTGAAAAGCCACTATTCTACTTTGATTCTTTGAATTTGATGACTTAGATACCTCATGTAAGTAGAATCAAACAGCATTTGTCTTTTTGAGACTAGTTTATTTCACTTGGCATAAAGTCCTTAAGGTTCCAAATCTTAATATATTTAAAAAGGCTCTTTTTTAAAGACTGGAAAAAAGACAATAAAAAACTTGAAAACTAGTTTAGTAGAGAGTTTCTTCTGTTTCTACTTCTTTAGCACAGGCTGGCCCACCCCCCTTTATTTTTGACGTCTTTGTATATAAATGTGTGTAAATATTTCATTAAAAACTGGGGCATGAGATTTCATCATTAAGCATAATCTTATAAATAGGGCTGAGTTAGCATATATTTTTACTTTTGTGGCAATAATAGTTGTGATTTTTTTCATCCACATAGTTGTTATTTATATTATAACTCCTTTGAGAAAAGCATAGAGATACCCAAATCTCTGTCCTTCTTTTCTATTATGGTAACATTATATAACAAATTCTGTGAAGTGTTCCCTGTGTAGAGGAACATGGTGGCATGTGCAGTAAGTACATGTGCTTTGGCCTCAGACAAATCTGACTTTGCTTCTTGACTGTACTTCAATTATCCCCATTTGGAAAGTGAGCATAACACCCACATTATACAGTTTTAAGGATTGGATTATATAAAGTGCTTAATTAGTTCCTGGCCTCAAGAACAGGCTTATAATAAATTGTCATCCTTGTCATCGCAGTCATAATATCAGTATTTTAGCTTTTAATAATGTTGTATAAGTAGTGAATGACCTGTAGTGAATTTGAAACGTTAACCATTAATCTCTTCAGAATTTCGCTTCTCTGTCTCATCTTGACTTTTTCAGAAACAGGTAATATGAGATAGTACCATTTTCTACCTCCGTTCTCTTTTGCCAGGCTACAGGCAAGCCACGTTTTCTGAAATGTACATTATGTATTGCAGCTGACTTATTAGAG